ATGACAAAGCATCAACAATGATTCATATTTTCCATTTCATTCCATAGCACGATCACTTGGTAAAATCCATCATGAACAAGTAAACGGAAGTATTTCATCAATTATCGCATTCAACATTTGCACATATTAGACATTGCAAGCAATTCAAATTAGCATACAAAGCTATTCAAATTTGCCTACAAAGCAATTCAATTTTGACAACCACAATTCAATTGGCATCCATTTCAAGCAATTCAAATATTTAACAAGTAATTCATTCCAAGCAATCCATTCCAAGCAATTCATTTGCAATTCAAATGAATAACAAGTGTTTCACAATTCACAAAATACATTCGCAATCTATTTAATATTTGCAATCCATTACATAGCTGCATATTTTCAAGCATTTCACAATTACAAGAATTCCAAGCAATATTTGCATATTGATAGAAATAGAAAAAACAGGGAAAAAAAAGGAAGAACAGAGCACTCGTGAACTCACCTGGACGGGGACGTGGACGTCGGGGCGCAGCACGGTGGGCGGCGGTGGAGCTCCTGGGCGGTGGTGGAGCACCGACGTTGGGGGTCGAGGGCCCCTGCTGGGGCAGAGGAGGGAGGGGCGGGCCGGGCGTCAGGGTTGGGGCCGGGGCAGGGGCACCGCGCCCCGGGGTCGTCGGCGTCGGGGGCGACCAGGCCGGGGTGGGCGCTGGGTCGCGGACCGGCCGTCGGGGCGGGGTCACGGCGTCGGGGGAGGGGGAGGGGTGGCCGGGTGGTGGAGGGCGGCGCGGGGAGGTTGGGTGGTGGAGGGCGGCGCTGCGTCGGCGAGGCGGCGGGTCGGAGGCGGTGGCGCGCGGCAGGGAGGCGAGCTGGGTGGAGGCGCGGTGCTCGACGGCGACGCACAGCGCGGGGGAGCTGCGGTGGACGACGGCGTTCGGGCGGCGGCGCGTAGGATGGCGGCGGCGCGGAGAAGAAGATAAGGGAGAGAGAAAGAGGAGCCCGCGCCGCGCCCAAGTCATACATAAAAGGTTTGCCGAGTGCTAGATCTGGGGCACTCGGCAAACCATACGACACTCGGCAAAAAATGTTTGCCGAGAGCTGTGGGACCGGCTCTCGGCAAACATTTTCACCAGGAATTGAAATTTTTTTTATAAATTCGAAATAAATTCAAAAAAATGCCAAATTTTGCCATGATACATTTCACATGATTCTTTACCTATAAAAAATATGTTTAAGGTGAAACCAAATTATGTCCGCCGTTTTGGTTCGAAATCCAAACGATCACTTCATAAGTTTATGGATCTTCTTCGAGGATGCTCCTGTTTCTAAACAACGTACGTCACAACTTTAGCGAAACTTTTTCTACGATTTATCATGGTCTCCACGTATGATTTCATGATACCAGCGCGAGTCTCGTAATTTTTGGACTTTGTTTGAATTTTATAAAATTAAAATACTATTCAACCATATCTTTTCGCTTATATTTTATGTACAATATGAACGAATTATCAGTTCATTTCATGGTTGACACCTTACATTGGACTCAAGAACATGAATATCAACTTTCGTATGAACATTTTTTTTATTTGAATCACCTAAAGTTCAAATTTGAATTATTTTCAATATATACTTTATATGTCATAAACACCTTAAATATACCAAACGGATTGAACAAATCACCAAACTTTCGCATGAAGCAACATTGATACATACATCCACCACATAAATGGAAAATGTGGAAAAAAATGAAAAAAAAATTATTTTGCCGAGGGCCCACGTTAGGCACTCGGCACACAAATAGTTTGCCGAGTGCCACTAACGGAGGCACTCGGCAAACTCCCTTGGCACCGTGTGCCAGGAGTTTGCCGAGTGCCTCCAGTTCTGGCACTCGGCAAACCCCCTGTTTGCCGAGGGCCAGGGTCTCGGCTCTCGGCAAACTCCTTTGGTACCGTGTGCCAGGAGTTTGCCGAGTACCGAGCCCCTCGCACTCGGCAAACAGGGTGTTTGCCGAGTGCCCGATGGATTGCACTTGGCAAACCCCTGAACACACGGCAAAGGCGCGGTTTCCCGTAGTGCTGTGATAAAATTTTAGAATACCACAATGGGAGTATTGTACATGTTTTTTTTTTGTATAAATGAAGAAAAGAATGTGCATATAACTATATAAACTGTGTTTTTCTGCCAAACAAAAGGAAGGATGTCAGTTCTTCAGTTTAGAAACTTATGACGGCGTGGATATATGTGTGAATAGAGTATTAGTGAGGTAGGCTCATTGAAACAGATTCATGTTATCGTTTGAAACCAGTCTTTTGGAATGGGTGCATACTAGATACATCATTTTTGTCTATACTTTAATTGCAGTTGCCTTTGTTTACCACGTTTATTTCATAATTTGAAAGCTATAGCGCGTGGTCTAAACATGTGCAAATCTACTTTTGTAGGTCTATTCATTTTTTATTTTTCTTTTCTTCTTTGCAGCAACAGAAAAAAAAATTGTATCAGTTGTTTATCAACCTCATTGTTTTTGCAATTCAAGACTGCAACTTAGTAAAAAAAAATTGCAAGATGATCTTAAGAGCCCAGCGGACATGCATGGTCGATGTTGACGGCAACCACGGCAGCTCGCCCCGTCGCCGCTTGTGGACATGTACGCCAGCCACGAGCGCATGGACGCGGCGCGGCGAGTGTTCGACGAGGTCGCCGGTGGCAGGAGCGCCATGATCTGCGGTTACGCGCAGGCCGGCATGCACGAGGACGCGCTGGCACTCTTCGCGTCGATGGAGGCCGAGGCCGGCGTCGTCCCCAGCGAGACCACCATGGAGGGCGGACTGCCCGCCTGAGCGCGCTCGAACACCTTCGCCGGCAAGGCTTCACCAGCGTGCACGGGTACGTCGTGACACGCCGCAGGAGCCGCGGCTGGCTTCCTATCGCCGCGCATGCATGCGTCCATGGTTAATTGCGCACGCATGCATGAGTCCATGGCTAATTGTAGCAGGGGCAGCGCAAGGAGCTCGGCGTGGGCGAGTCGGCGGCGCGGCGTGCTCGATGGCGCGGCTCGCGTGCGCGAGGGGCAGGGCGGGCATGCGGAGCTGCAGCGGGCGGACGCGGACGGGACGTGTGGCCGTGCAAAGTAGCGGGCGCGGCGGTGATCCCGCCCTGCTTGTAGAAGAACTCCATTAGCCCCACGTTGGTGAGCAGCTCCGACACCAGCCACTGGATCGACAGCCGCTCGCCGGCGCCGGCGACGGTGGCGTTCTCGCAGCGGCGACGCTCGACGAGGGCGGCGGCGACCATGGACAGCGCGGAGAAGCAGAGGCTGGCGCCGATGCGCTGGAGCGGGGAGATGCCGGAGCGCGTCCGGGTGAGGCGGCGCATGAGCGGGATGAGGAGGAGCTCTTACGCCGGCACGAGGAGGAGGAGGATGGCGTAGGGGATCGCCTGCTGCGACGCCGGCGGGATGTGGAAGGACCTTGTTGAGAGACGGGTGTCCATGGCGTAGCCCTGCAGCAGTAAGAGAACGCGGACGTTGTCGTCGCATTTCAGACTAGTCAGTACCTAAAACATGATTGTTTGCGAGGAAATAGATGACACACTTGTACATGCATGGAAGAGTATTATTTGAGATCTATGGACTTATCACACTCAGTACATTCCTGATGAATCATTCTCGGCGATATCCTGCTTGTTGTCACGTTGAAGAACTCCATGAGCCCCACGTTGGTGAACAGCTCCGACACGCCGAACACCAGGAACTGCGGCACCAGCCACAGGATGGACAGCCGCTCGCCGCCGGCCATGGCGGTGGCCTCATGGTGGCGGCGACCATGGACAGCGCGGAGAAGCAGAGGCCGGCGCCGATGCGCTGGAGAGGGGAGATGCCGGAGTGCGTCCGGGTGAGGCGGCGCATGAGCGGGATGAGGAGGAGGAGCTCTTACGCCGGCACGAGGAGGCACTGCCACAGAAAGGGGCTTCAGCGACGGGTTTTTTGGGCCTCTAGCGACGGGAAAAAGCCCGTCGCTAGAAATACGTCGCTAAAGGGTGGACGACAGCGACGGGTTTTCACCCGTCGATGAGTACAACCGCAGCGACGGGTTTCTATCCACGTCGCTCTGTTGTCACAGACGTCAATCCTAAACCCGTCGCTACTGCTCAATGAAAAAAAAAAAAAATCGTCCAGCAGTCTTAATCCACGCCACAAATTACAGCTTCAATCCAGGCAGAAGTTAACGACACAAACTAATTTTGAATTGATATCGACATGAACAACCAGCGGTTAACAACAAAATCAGTCAAAGACGCGAACTAATCTAACCAGCAACAACTTCCATCGAGATCATAACTGAGCCGCTAATTCGTAGAGGACGTCGTCGTAGAAGTCGCCACCTCCGAGATCTGGCCCGGCTTCTTCCTCATACGCGGCCCACCACCGGAGTCCTTCGCCTCGTTGCCGTCACGGAGGGAGTCGCCGTCGCGGAGGGGGGCCGTCGTCGTGGAAGGAGCCGTAGCAGAGGGCGGCGGCGTCACCGAGGAAGCCAGCCCCGCGCCGGATCTGCTCCCGCGCTGTCGATCCCCCACGTGGCGGCGCCGTCGAGGAAGCTGCCCCGCGCCGGATGTGCCACCGCGGCGTAGCCGAGGAGGCCGCCCCCGCGCCGGATCTGCCACCGCGCCATCGATCCCCAACCGTGGTGGCGCCGTCATCGAGGAAGCCGCCCCGCGCTGGATCCGCTACCGCGCCGTCGATCCACCACCGTGGCGACGCTATCGAGATCCCCCCACGCCGGATCCGCTGCTGCCCGGCGCATGGTGAGGAGGGGACGGGTGGCTGTGGTTGTGGGAGGAAAGGGAGGGGAGACAGAGAGCGAGAGAGAGAGAGAGAGCGAGAGAGAGTGGTGTGCGGCGCCGGCTTAGGGTTTGGGAGCTAGGGGACGACTTATATGCGAGGAAGTGGGCCGGGCCGGGCCGGCTGGAATGCTTGTTGCTTTCTGTTTAGTATAATAAGAATCTTTTCCTACAGTATACCACAAGCTTGGGTTGGCGCAGTGGTTAGTTCGTTTGTTCCCTACGCCGAAGGTCCCAGGTTCGAGCCCAGCGCACCACGCTTTATTTTTTGCTGAAGCAAACCACGTTCAGCGACGGGTTTCATGCAAGGTCAAAGGCACCTAGCGACGGGTTTCAGCTCACCGTCGCTAAAACTGAAAACTCAGCGACGGGTTACAGGCTTCCGTCGCTGGTGCCTCTAACTCAGCGACGGGATTCAAGTAGCCGTCGCTAGAACTTGAAAATTAGCGACGGGGAACAATTTGGAAGAGGGTAGCGACGGGTTTTGAGTAAAACCGTCTGTAAATCTTTGACTTTTAGCGACGGTTTTTTGAAAACATGTCGCTGAACCTCCCCACCGTATTTTTAGCGACGTGATTCTAAAAGACGTCGCTAATGTCTGCGTCGCTAAAGCCTGGTTCTGTGGTAGTGAGGAGGACGGCGTAGGGGATCGCCTGCTGCGACGCCGGCGGGATGTGGAAGGAGCTTGTTGAGAGACGGGTGTCCATGGCGTAGCCGTCGCTGCTACTCGTCTTCTCGGCAATGGTTATGAAGGAAGACTCGGAGGCACAAAGGTAGCTGCAATGGCAGAGGTGACTAAGACGTGTTCAGTTTGAAAGTACTCTGATCATAAAAGTAACACGTCCCGAACAATTTGAACATGAATTGCCTATTTCATTACTGCTGAAATGGTGATCAATATTTGGGCGACCGGTTTGGGGAGAAGATGTACGGGTTCGCGTTTCTTGCTTTTCCATACAAGGAACTGAATTTGAAGTTTTGTACGAGCTCCAGAACAATTAGCTCGGCTTTGCTGTGCACCAAAGTGTATCCGGTATAAGCCTGAGCAGGAGCGCACCAACGCTGCAGAGCATGAAGCCGGTCGCTGTCTTCATGCATCCCTGCCGGACGACGGGGCTCCGTGCGTTTGCCGCTGTGGAGCAAGAAGCCGCTCTCCGATCATTGTTGTATACGGTTTTTCAGTATCGAGATGGGCTTCTTTTATTTGGATCGGGTCAGGGCCAAGGGGGTCTCCGGAATCAAAGAAAATCAATAATTCAGCAGTATTACTGACTGCTTTGGGATTCATGCATGTTTTGGAAAAAGCTTCACCAGAGCAGTTCTCATCTTCTGCTATGTTTTGTTTGCGAGGATACACTGCCACACCGACATCAACGCTTCAATGAAATTGCTCACCTGAAACGGTTGTAATTTGTCAACTCCACAAGTTCTCGACAGCAAGATTTACCAGGCTTACTCAGGCACCCCATAGTATTAGGGTGCTACAAAATTAGAGTGAAAAAGCCACCCGTTGTTCCGTTAGATGCCCTCGAACAGAAATCACAGCAACAGTGAAGAATCAGGCACTGACATGTCTTTTCGTACAACTAATTTCCACTAAGACAGTGCAAATTCATTGATAGATAACATAACTGCCCATATAAGTGTAGTGCAACTTCATTGACAGATCGCATACCTGTCATTCAGGTTCATTAAGCCCCAAGTAGACTAGACTCTACGATATATTGAGCAACCATAAACATCACATCGACTTCAACTTACAATTCAGCTAGCATAATAAAACAGAGTACACTTTGAGTTTCCAGTAGAACCAAATAAAGGAAGTCATGCACGGTTCACTCCAACTCACCATCTGAATCTAAAAAGATGACTTCCCTGCAATGTAACCAGGTAGGAAGCTTGTCCATAAATTCATAGTCATCGACTGAGTCATGGGGAAGCCTCAGTGACTTGATGGAAGCACATTTTGCTTGCAGGGTATCATCCATCTTGATGTTGAAGCAGTAACGGATATCAAGGGACTCAAGGTTGGGGCAGTTGTCCATAATGGCTGCCAGTTCCCCATTGTTGATGATGCTGCCGAAGAGCTGAAGAGTGTGTAGCTTTGTCATAGTTGCTTTCCTCATTGCTTCGCTGTAGTAGATAATATTGTCTTCATATATAATACGGACCCCCTGCTCGCAACATATGAAGCGCTTGAGTTGTGTACATGACTTGCCTATGGCCTTAAACACATACATCCCAGATACTTTTAAACAAAGTGAAAGCTCAAGGTCCGCAAGTAGAGGGAACTTCTTTATTGCCCCCGCAACTCCTAAAGTAGAGACATAATCGCAAGAGATAAGGCTAAGCCTCCTGAGAGATGGTGCCCTGCAAACACATCACTTTCATCTTGATGATTAATTATATATACACCTCAGAGAAAACAACATGATATGGAGTATGTGCTAAAAACAAGCATTTAGAAGGATACACAATTGTTTAGGTTACTGACGATGAGATCAAACCAAATCATTCTAAGAAAATGAAGCATTTGAAACAATAATCTAGTACACAAAGAGGACCATACCTGTCCCCTATATACTTGAGCAGGTCATCCGTAACAAACCACTTCCCCACAAATGCCTCCAGCTGCCCACAGGAGCGGTCGACCGCCACCTTCGCCATGGCACATAGTACATTGCCGCTCATCTTTTCCAGCACCTTGGGGTTAGACATGTCCACGGATCGCCACAGATCAGGTGACCTCGCTGCGTCAAGCCACGAGTGACAGACGAGCCCCGCACCCATGAGGACCTCGATGGCGCCGAGCTTGGTGAAGATCAACGAGAGGGCGTCAACCTGCAGCTCTGACCAGTCTCTCGCCCCCGGCGCCTGTGGTGCCTCCATACCATGGAAATACCTGTGAGCATGATAGTACAGTATAGTGATTCAGATATCAGATATTGGTGAGGGTCCTTTGTGATCTGTGAATGCGTGAACCTTATGTTCTACTGCTGTGAGGTTATGCATCGATCTATAAAACTGCATTTTAGTCAAAAGTGGAAAAAAAAACTGGTAGCAAATAGAAATGTGAACAAATCCATGCTCGCAGACTGGATCAGGGTCATGATTTTAGGCTTTTCCCACTAAACGGAGGAAGCAGTGAAGTCGCGCCGGTTAAAAATTCCAAGATTTTTCTTATTGGGGAACACTAGGACAAGAACACTGACGAACTGAATAAACCCTTGACGACCAAATCGAAAGGGGGAAAACATTGCTAAAACGAAATCAGACAGCCAAACCTCGGGACACGCCGAATTACGAGTGACCCGAATCGTCCCACCGAAGTTTCTAGCCTCAATTTCGGCGTCCTATCGCGGAAAGTTACGATCTTGGTGTTGATAAAACAACAGGACTTTAGAACTAAGCAGCAACGAGGCGTCTTGGCCGGGTCCCGGGAATGAAGCGACGCGAGGGTTTAGCAAGTTACCTTCCGGTAGCAGCAGGCCGCGGCGGCGGCGGCGGCCGGGGCCGATTCCGTCGGGCGAGGGTTCGCAGCGCGCGTCGGTTCCGTTTCTTGCGAGGGAGAGGGAGTGGACTCATTGGAGGGGGCAGTCGGAGTAGACTCAGTAGAGTGGATTGCGTTCCGTGGATTGTTACACCGACTCCAACCTATGCGCATCCTATATGCAAAATGGGTCTTTAAACCCTGAATACATGTCTCCAACCGGCTACCCAGAGCAGGACCATTCTTTGGGTGATCAGCAGCTCGCACCCCACAACTGGACTCTCTCCAAGCCGTTCACCCTTCGCGCCCGCGACGCCCCGCCAAGCGCCGGCCTCCTCCTCCCCGTCAGGCGCCGTCCCGCCGCCACCCCCTCCTCCTTCTTCCCCGGCGCAGATCTGCTGCACGCCGGGCCCTACGCCGCCGCCACCCCCTCCTCCTCCCTCCCAAGTCGCCGCATGCCGGGGCCCGCCCACGCTGTCGCGGACCCGCGCTGCCTCGTCGCGACCGCGCGCCGTTGTGGCCTCGCCGGGGGCCGCATCGCCTCGCGGGGCCCCGCGCATTGGTGTTGGCGGTTGAGGAGGCTGCTGCCCAGGCGAGCGCGAGGACAAGGCTGCGGCCCAGGCGAGCGCGAGGACGAGGCTGCGGCTGCGCGTGGCGGCAACGGCATCGGCATCATCGGCGGTGGCGCGCGCCTGAGCTCAAAGAGGAAGCAGCATCTTGATTTCGGACTTCGATTGGAGATCGACACTTTTGGATCGTGTCCTTCTAGCCGAACGCCTACCCATACACTTGTTTTGATGTTGAATTTAGGTAGGTTGGATTGGAGTCAGTCTTAGGTCTCTGCTTTTCGTTTTCCATACCGGCATACAAAAATAAAGGCTCAAAATCTGTTTCAGTTCCAGCAATAAATTAGATCAAGACTCTATTTTATGAAAAAAAAAAACACAGTGTGACTACTGTGACCCATGAATGAAAGGCTTGGGGCTTGAAGATGGAGTTTGAAAAGGTTTGCAAAATAAGAGCCCAGGTAGAGTCGATCTTGCTAGAGTTGATTTTTTAGTTCAAGCTTTCAAAAAATAGAGTAGAGGCCTAAATAAAACCTGTGAATTGAAAGGCTGCAGCCTTCAATTCACGGGCCTCTACCATCCGCACATGACGTTGGGTTGGGGCCGAACTGTTTATGATTTTATTTTCCGATTTACATAAATTTTCTTTTCCTCAAGGTAAAAAAACTTTTCTTTGTACAAAGTACAAACAGTGTTTAGAAATCTAATCAATGTATCAGTCCGACATTTCATTGCCGAAGGAGAGCTTAATATAGCATCATTCTTATCTAAAAAATGAACTAAACATGTTAAAAAATCATCACTTATTTTGAGATAAAATGTCGCAAGATCATGAGCACCCATGTGTGTGTAGCACTCTTCTTGATAAGCACCAAAAATAAACTCTGGTTGATTTCTGCTACAAATTTGTCTCTTAATTTTGGTAGAAGAAAAGCTTAACCACGGCCAGCAATCTGATCCAAACATGACTATTGATTGAAAATTGGGATGTCAAAATCGGCCTGCAAAAAGTTTTAGCTTCTTTAGCTCCCTTTATGGATGGAATCTACAGGCTTCTTCCGGGTTCAACCAGGTGGCGAGCCCTCAATTGCCACCCACTCTCCTTCCTCCTCCCACTTTAGTCATGGTAGAGCCGGCTGACAGAACAACCCGCACAACGAGAAGTCAGGATCTTCACATGTGCAACTGGAGTCTACCGACTTGAT